TTTCATATTTTTCGGTTTGTCCCGAGGGCAACAAAACAATTTTTATTTTTGGCCTAATGCATGTTTAGATGACTGCTCATTAATGTTACAGGTGACTTGGGGCCTGTTTATGGCTTTCAGTGGAGACACTTTGGAGCGCAATACAAAGACATGCATAGTGATTATTCCAATCAAGGTATAGATCAATTAGCGAACGTTATAGAAACCATCAAAACAAATCCACATGATAGAAGAATTATTATGACAGCATGGAATCCCACAGGTAAGTTTAATCTTAGTTTTGATAAGATAGAAACCAGCAACTGTGGTAGGCTTCCCACTTGTCATAGACTGGCTTTCAAGTCTTTGTTTAATAAATTAAAAGTTTAAATGACTAATATAAGAAAAAGTGCAGTGTTTGTGAGTGGTTGCGAAAAAACAATAAACTTGTGTCCCTTGCTAAGTTTGAGTTACTATTAATAGTCATGAGTGACACAATGAATCAAAAGTCATTTTCAATCCATTATTTACCATTTGCTATTTTTAGTTTTTTTCATTTTCCCAACAAAAAAACAAAACAGTGACACTTAAAAGCAAGTCTAATCTTGGCAGTAAAATAAGTCCATGCTGCTCACTTAACTTTTAATCTTTACTAGTTCATGGTAGTTGGAGTGAATGTTGAATTGCTTTCACTCCAGAAATATTGAAAAATAGTGCAGACAAATTTGGACGTGAAAGTCTAGTAGTGGAAAGGTTAAGAGTTCAAATTCTATTGGCTGGACATCAAAAAGGGGTTGACTTCCACCCCAGATGAGTATGCCCCCAATGGTGGTGAGGCTAAGATCTAACTAACGTGACTATGGAGGAAACATTGGTTTGGTTTTGTTGATAGCATGCACATAAAATTGACATAATTTTAGCAAAATAATCACGCAACCCTGTCAACATTATACCTAAGATGACCATGTCACATCATTCCAAACATGACCATATGAAATTCCATATAGACCACAAAAATATATTATACACTTTGTGATTAGATGCTGAATTGCATGTAATTGTCTTGTACTGTAATTTATCTTGCTACAGATTTACCGAAAATGGCTCTTCCACCTTGTCATGCATTTGTGCAATTTTATGTTTGTAATGATGAACTATCTTGTCAGTTGTATCAACGTTCAGCTGATATGGTAGGTAACAATTTCTAAAATATCAGTATTGTGAATTGTATCCTTCAAGATTGGCTAGTACTGAAGTCTCAGTCCATGCCATTTAAAAACTCGCAGGGAGCTAAAAATTACTCTCCTGAATGTAGTAATGTGAGCAATGAGGTGCAAGAGATTTGGCAGTATTAAAATTTACTCAAAATGCATTAATTTGGAGTTCTATAATTAGCTCTTCTAGAGATTGATTTGACAGAATACAGTGATCTTATAAAGTAAGGTCTAAGAACATGTTTTGTTTTTTCATAAGTATTTTAGTACTACCACTTTATGTTAAATGTGGGTCCCATACGATTTATAAAAATTTCAAACATGCTTCATGATGATTGGCTCTTTTTAAACTCACTATGATCTATGGGGAATGCACTTTAGCACATACATACCTTAAGAATACACCATAAGAATTACCTGTTTGACTGTAGAATGTTCAATTTAAACTGCTAGAAAATTCATGATTTTCAGTGCCTTGTAAAATTTTCAAAATAGTATCTTTCACGAAATCAACCCCCCGTACATTTTTCCAACATCTTTTAATAATTTTTGGTTCAGATAGACACAAGTCTTAATCAAAGTTTTAAAAAAAAAAAATATGAAAAAGTTGTGTGAGTTTAAAATTTGTAAATGATGACAAAAGTTGGTTTTGGTACCGAGAGGGTT